AGCAAGTCTGAAATTCTCGGGCCATACGTCAGCAGGAATGATCTGGAATGATCTGGAGAGTTGTTAGATTCGGAAAGATGTTGTCGTATTCCGGCTGAAGTCATTCAAGTCACCGCTGCATCCAATGCATCCAATAAGTTCCCTCGCCACTTGGGAAAAGAGACCCCAGCAGCCCTGGTTAACCATAAATCTTTGAAATATCCAAACGAAATAAGTTGATATTCATAAAAATGAATAGACCTCTCATTTTCATTCATGTTCATAGAAAAACAATGAAACACAAAGTACACACAAACCCATTTTGCCCAACCATTGACCAGTCGGCTTACCCAGTTCTGGCACTTTACCACCGGTTGCCAAACAAAACATCATCAATCTTAGATAAACTATATATATATCAGAAACAATGTCAGTTTATACGAAGGAAACCAAATATCAAATTTTGAGTTTGCACATGGTTGCATAATGTTGCATATATATATGGCAATCTCAATGTGGCAAGAAAGTCCGCCACAAAATTCGCCAAAGTTGAGCTATAAACCTTTCATTAAATGTATATTATATGATATATGTATGATATGTATATCCCATATAACGAAAAACAAACACCATGCACAGTCACAATTTTCTGGTTTTTCATATTATGATTTTTCCTCAACAAATCACCATGTTTTTCAAAAAAATGATGAACATTTCAGGCTCCACCTTCGAGGATCTCTCAGATCGCTCCACTTTCTCCTCCCGCTTCCGCTTTTTCTCCTTGGGCTCCTTTCCGATGACTTTTGGAGAAGGATTGGTCGTTGGGAAAATCTACAGAAACCATGAGGAAAAAACCCAAAGATGGGGGGTTCAACAGTGTTCAACCGTAATTTTTGTTCCATAATTTTTGTTAAACCAATCCAATGAGAGTTCCTCCAGGTGGAATTGCAGGATTTTTGGGGCGTTGCAAATCAAGTCTTCGGAGAAGTTGACCAAAACTACACAAACTGCACTTAACTCAGATTTGGATCTCGGAAATTCTTCAGAATGCCTTGATTTCTGGCAACGAAATTTAATGGGCACTTACTTTCCATTGACCAAGACCATGAGATGACACATGGGCTGTTGGGACAGGAGCTAATTAGTTTCAGATTTGTGATTTGTTTGAACCAAAACACTCCATGGAGACCACATATCACAATCAACAGCTATCAGCAGCACCATTAACCAGCTCCAAACCAATAAAAGATCGAAGACTCGCAGAAGGAATATCAATTGAGGTAGAACGAGACACCACAGGGTCGTTGTTATGCAGTTTATCCCCATGTTTCATGGTTTTTCCCACTTCTTGGAAGTTCAAAATCCCACATGGTAATGTGGGTAAAACAATTATAAACCACCCATCTGGGAATTGTTTATACCACCTATATATGGTGATTTGGGGATGGTTTATTCTTGTTTTACCCCAGCAATTTGTTGTTTTGCTTTTTAGTTTCTCCCCATTTTTCCATTGCATGGTCCACTTCAAAACAAGATCCCAAGGGCTTGCTGGTGCGGTTGAGGCAGAGTTTTCTGTGCCCCCAAGGGGACCATCAGGATTGAACAGAATATTTCATGGATGTACCAATTTCCGCTGGTGATCCATTGAATTACTCAAATCATCTTAAATCCCATTTCACAGTTTCTGCAAAAACATCCCAGATCTCAATATACAGTAGGGCTGTTCAACCAATGTTCCGCATATGCTGTAAAACCATGCCTGAAAATCACAATTTCCATCAATTTCCCGTGGCTTTTCCGTGGTTTTACGTGGCTTTTCCCCAATTTCCTATGGCTTTTCTCCCAAAAATTCCACGTTTCCCGTGGCGGCCTCCCGCGCCACGGGCACAGTGGCGGCCAGGGCCGCCTTCGCAGCGAGGGCGCGGGAGTTTTGGAGCTCCTCGGCGGGTGGGAGAACTAGTTTTTGCATATAGTTGTACATCAATAGGGATTAATGATGATAGTTGTATATTAATGATTACTATATATATATATAATATAGATATATAATTATTGATATTGATGATATCTATAGTTGTATATAGATGATATAGTTATTGATCTAGATTTATCAAATAATTATTGATGATCATATCTATATTAATGATAATATATGAGGTACTAAGACTTTGGGAAGATCCCAATAACAAGTGGCAATGGGTTAATATATGTTATAATATCATTTGATATCTATGTTAAAGACAACATGTTCGCTGCAACCCCTAGGTTTGCCTGCGGCCAATTCCGCATATCCTTTGACATGCTCAAATCCCTGCACAGGGTTTAAGTTTTTTACTTTCCAAAACAACAAACACCAAAACCCTAAAACCTAAAACCCTAAACCCTAAATAAAAACTCTAAATCCTGAAAACTTAGTGTCAAAATCTCTGCATATAGCCAGTGTTTTCATTCATCCTCTGGTGATAAGTATATCATATTCTTTAAGGATGTGTTGTTTTTTTCGTGTGGGCGAACCAGGGGTGACATCGCCGCAGCGCTGAGGTCGCTGCATCAGTTCTGGGCCTAGGATGACGGTGAAAGCGACACGGTGACTCAAAGAGAAAGCTGAAGTCTATGCAAATCACTGGCCATTTCAGGCCTTAGTTTCAGGGAATATCCCAACAAAATATGATCTTATATGGTACTAACGTACCTCCATCTGTTGGATCCTGAAATTCCCATTGAGCAAATGAAGATGATGGTGATGAGGACGATGAGTATTCTTACCCATATGCGAACCATGGTGCTGGAATATGAATACCAACATTTGCCCAACATAAATCACCCAGTTTTGTAGGTAAATATACCAGCACCATGGAGCATCTGGGTTATGTTTATGATGATAGTGACGAATGTTTATGACACTTTGTGATAAGTTATAGTAGTGATGATTATCAAGAAACTATTAATGTTGTTGCTAATGATAACGCTGACCATTAGTTTGAGGATTATGAATTATGATGATGACAACGATGACAAATCATTAGATATGATGTATTATACAACTTATTGACGTGAGGATCATGATGATGATGATGATGATGATGATGATGATCCTCTGCCTCATGTCTTCTCGAACCGAAGCAATACCAACTCAAGGCATCTCCAAGCTTGGCAAAATACACCATATCCACAGATGTTGTCTTCCCAACGCCCCGGCCTTTTTTGTCAGCTTTCTGCATGTCAGGAGTGAAACTCACATCTTGCTGTGAAAGAAAGCTACTACATGCACATTCGCAGGTTCTAGATGGTTCTAGGATATTGCAAAAGCGCGGCAGGCTCTGAATTCAAGACTTTACCTCTACCAAATGCGAAGAAACACACCGAAGAAACGCCTTGGTGATGACAAAATATGACAGCGAATCCCTACCTGCCATGGAATTCTGAGCCCTACCTGCCTATCTTCGGCCTTTGCCGTACGATTGTTTGCGACTCCGCTGCAGCTCTTCATAGTGTGTTCATGGTTGTTACACACTTTTTCAGGGATCCAGATCACCAGTGATCACGTTCACTAGCATCCCCCACAAAAAACAAGAGAAACACCTGGCATCTATGAAAATGGGTTCCCATATGTTTCCATTTACTTCATGTTCTACGGAATAAGAATCCTGTGCTTGGATTCGAATCTGAGCAGCAGATTCCCCAACTGGTGTTGATGGTGGATTAATCAATGGGAAGATTATGAAACATTAATAACACGTCATCTTCAGTAAATTCAGGGTAAAGCCATTGATCTGGGTTTTCATTGTCTTTCATGATAGTTACCCTCCCTATTTCATGATACCCTTTAGTCATTGATCACTATCCCAGGCCATGGCTTAAAGGGATAGCTACCCAGTTCTCCAATTCCCAGGCCAGATTCCAGCGCTCGGTCCATGAATTGTCTGGAGACCATGAACTCATTAAGCATGGTTCATGAAAATAAATTGGTCTACCATTCATTAATGAACATATTCATAAATGGTACATAATTGTATATATATAATTACAAAAGTGGCATAGCCATGAATTGATTCATACCCATTATATATTGCTAGCCATGGAAATCATGGTCCAAAAAATCTTCCATGTGACCTGACGCCGCACCGAGCTTCAAAAAACTCGCTTGAGACTCGTGCTTGCAAAGCTTGGGACTGGCAGAATTAAATTCACAGATATTCATAGTTTATCCAACTAATAGCTGGTTGGTGGGAGAAACCTACCCCTCTGAAAAATATGAAAGTTGGGATGATGACATTCCCACTATATGGAAAGATAAAACATGTTCCAAACGACCAACCAGATAGTGAATGATGAATTAACAGGAATTACATGGTTTATGTGGTTAAGAGTGATAATTAATGGTTATCAATGTTGATTAGTGGTGATATACCATGATATACCCTCCTGTTTTTCCTAAGAATTCGATGTACCAACCATGATCGATCATTGGATGTTCCCAAAATGGAACAGTGGCTTCTCATGGCGTTTCCACATCGATGTTAGCTTATCGTAGGATTTAAGCGATGATACCAGTGGGATTACATTCTGTTTGGCCTCCACTTCGTGGTTCCACGGGTTGACACATGGAGGCGAGATTGCCATGGTACCCTTACCAGCGCAGCAACGTGGAACAGTGAAATCCTCAGGATTCTCAACATGTCCATGAATAGAAGATGTTAAAAAAAAATGACACATGTTGGTTACATTTGGAAGTGGTTGCCATGTCCTAACATGATGTCCATTTGCAATAGGACACACATCTGGACATGGATGGTAAATGTGGAGAATTGTTCATTGTCATGCAAGGGATAACAAATCTGTCAGGGTTGAACTCAAGACGCGTACAGGACGACTCTGTTGAAAAATCAAAGGTGGCCAACATGTCCAGAATGGCTAAAAAAATGTTGACCCCCAAAATCTTGTTAATCCCCAAACTGGATGGAACATGACATGACATGTTTTTTAAAATCCGTTGCTGTCGCTTTCAAAGATGTTTCAATGTCACCTGTTGAAGCCACAGCAGCCGCAGCTAGTCCATTCCATTCTCCTCGCTCATCGGGCCTCGGTAACATCGGCGGCTGCGTCATGGCTTTCCTTTGGATGACCACAATGGCATGTTTGACATCACAATTCTATTCTGGTTGGTGGTTTCAACCCCTCTGAAAAATATTAGTCAGTTGGGATGTTTTTTCCAAATATATGTTCTATTGAAACTACCTGAAGATTTTAGAACCCTTCTGGTTGGTGGTTAAAAAACAATCTTGAAAAATGATGGAGTTCGTCAATGGGCAGGATGAGATCCCATATATGGAAAATAAAACATGTTTGAAACCACCATCCAGCCTTAAAGTCATAATGTTTCATACGAATCTATAAAAAATCTCGTTTCTGAAACGTCAACTGAAAAATCACTTCGCGCGCGCCTTCCTCAGACATCGGAGCCTCCAAGGAGGTCAGCCTCAGACGTTGGACGGATCGGGACGGTTGGAAGCGTTGGAAGCAGTGGATGCCCTAACTATTGTTGGCTTCACTATGGTTTAGTAAACCCTGTTGTGGTTGTGAATGCCGTGAGGATATCACGAAAAGATCTTGGCTTTCCGCCGATCTGTATTTTGGCTCCAAAATTTTGGCTCCTCCCAGTCTGGGAAACCATTATTACAGTTAGGTCTATGAGCTTGATCGAATTCGGAAAAACTTAAATCCCCATATCCAGCTTAGCTTTATATACAAATAATGTGTATATATAATATATTTATAATATATATATATTTATAAACTTATGAGACGCGGTCGGGAACCACCAGTTGTAGAGATACATATTCACAAATATCAATGATTCCAGTTTTTTCTTCACAAAATCAATATATATATATATCATATATCACAAAAACATGTCAGGACATCCCCATCCAGTTGGGACTCCAAGGCCTCCCCCAAGGCCCCAACTTGGCTCCAAGGGACTTCCATCTCCGCGCCAGCTGTGCGTGTCCCGCGCGGCAGCCTCCGCCGGGCCGTTCCCAGTCCTGCTGACGCTGGAACCACTCGCCTTAGCGCCGCGACCACGGTGGGGGAGACCGTGGGAGATCTGGAAACATCTGGAAACTGGGTGATTACCATGGTTAGTGATGGTTAATGATGGTTAATAGTGGCAAATAGTGGTTAATTATCTGGTTGCTGGTGACTGGAACCATGGAATTTTATGTCTCCATCCCATGACGGATCCATGGTGCTGGTATATTAATGCTAACATGACTGGGGTATATGAATGGATATGAATGGGATCCATGGAGCACCATATATGGCAGCACCATGGATCCGTCATGGGCATAGTTATAGCTAAGTTATAGCTAACATAACTATCATAACTTGGTGAAGTCAGGTTTATGGTTTATAAGTACAGTTCATGGGGTTTGGCCAACAAGCATAACTGGGGCACCACCTTGTATCACTGGGATCACCCGGGGGATTTAAAAATTGGGGAAGCGAACCAAAAAACGAAACAAACTGGTTGGTGGTTGACCTACCCCTCTGCAAAATATGAAAGTCAGTTGGGGTTACTATTCCCAATATATGGAAAAAACATAAGTTCCAAACCACCAACCAGAAAAACTATGATTGTAATTCTTCCATAATCTTTTCCATATGATGTCGCTCCCCAGTCGTGGTCAGCACTTCCACTGAATTACAGCTAGGCTTGTCCATTTCAGGCGAATGGTTTTGGTTCAACTCGAAGATTTTCAATTCTCACTATACTCAGGGATTCCTAAGAATCATGTCTGTCGCTGAGTTACCCTCTGGTAAACTAACGTAACTATGGAAAATCACCATTTTTAATGGGAAAACTCACTATTTCTATGCCCATTTTCAATAGCTATGCTGCTATGTTAGTTTACCAGGCCGGGTAACTTTCATGAACCACCAGCGCTTGACAACTCGATCCACTGCTGAGTCACAATACTGCACCAATTGCAACGCTTGAAAACGCTCAGCTTCGTTCAGAAAAACTTCCACATTTTCCTGAGCGATTCCGAAAAAACCCGGAATTGCACCACAGGAGCACATATAGCATCACAACTTTGGAGTTGTTGAAGGGTCATTGCTGCAACCAATACTCATGGAATTGAGAGGGACAAAAACATGGAAAACCTACGGTAACTATGGTGCGAAACACCCATCACTGGTTTCCAGCAGATTTTCCCTTCAGCCCAGTGGAATCTTCAACTGACATGATCTGACATGGCAAAGCGGGACCTGACCCGACATGAGGCTCGAGACGCCCACCAGTTCCATGAAATTCACTCTTCGGATCACAGAATTCACCTGGTTGAAAAATGATGGAGTTCGTCAATAGGAAGGATGACATCATGTGACATCCCATATATGAAATGGAAAATAAAACATATTTGAAACCACCAACCAGTAACATGGTTTAACATGAATTAACCATGGTGCATCCGACACATCATGATTTTCCCGGCAAAGGTCTTCATCGACCGCCAAACTCAAGTGCTTCTCGCAGAGTTGTTTCACACAATCAACGCCTCAGCTGTCGCCGGGTCGCGCCGGTCTGTCAGAGTCTGTCAGAGTCCGTGGAGAATTCAAAAAAAAACAGAATTTTTGAGGGATCCTACAGAGATAGTCATGGAGACCATCCAAAAGTTCTCCAAAAGTTCTCCAATACCCAAATGCTCCATGTAACTCCATGTATGGAATATTTACCAACATTTCCCCAAAAAATCATCAAGTTTTGTGGGTAAATATACCATAATCCTGGATCATGATTGTCCTGATCCTAATTCCCAGATCATCCATGTAGAAGACTGGAAATGATGAGGTGAATATCATAATCTATCCTGGAAAATCTCCAGGTGCTGAAAGCGGCTTGCACCAACTATTTGGTGTTTTATGTTAAGACATGTTAAGACCTTAAGCCACTAGTTGGCGCTTTCGTACTATCTCCACGAAACCAGTGTCGGTTTTTCACCCTTCAATCAAGCCATCAGCCATGAGGATCGCCGCCGCGACACAAAACTGATCGGCAGCGCGTAGCAAACCCATCAGGAAGCACACGTCTCCTTGCTGCGTCTGTGACAATCGCAGCTTCCCGGTGTAGATAAACCTGGCTAGACGTCTAGGCTGCGGAGCATAGATGCCTAGATGCATTGAACTGAGGTATAGAATGGTATAACAAGGGAAATGTGGGGATCAAAATGTTCCAAGCTTCATAACATTGTTTTGAAATACATACTCGGATTTCGGGATAAAGCCACTAGCCCCAATTTTTTTCAGTCTGCAAGAGGTAGTATCGGGATGAGGATGCATTCTTTTATTATCTTCTATTCCTTGGAGTTCAGCATATATTCAGCTCTTCAACAGTAACCCTGGTTTTCACCGACCCTGGTACCCCCGGAGCATACAGATGCATAGGTAGCCATTGTCACCGTTCCTGGTCACCTGTGACAGCGTTCAGACGAGAAACTCCAGCAGGGCATAGAACGTGTCATAGGAAACGTCCTCGATGACAATGTCCGGTTCAAAGGTCTCGCGCATTCCGCAAGCAAAGGCCCGACCTGAAAAAACATGGGAAAACAAAAACACACTGAAGAGGATCAGATTTCCGCAGGACTTGGTATAGGATCTACGTAGTAACTCTTAACGGCGAACAGATGTGAAAGCTCGGTGGTTTCCAACCTATCAATGAACCAGGCCCACCAAGAGAAAGCTGACCAGAAACTATGGAAAGATCCACCATTTTCAATGGGAAAATCCACTATTTCTATGGTCATTTTCCAGTTCGCAAACTGTAAACGTCATTACCAGGCCGGGTATATCCCATTCATATCCTATTGAATCACTATAAAATCCCATTCAATTACTAGGCCGGATATCCACGCGGGGAGATCTTGGAGAGAAAGCCATTGATCAAAATCAAAACCATCCCCGAAAAGCCGTAATCTGGGACCATCATACGATGGGCCAGCGAAATCCTGCACCAAACGGATGCTTCAAAGCCTATATGGGATCAATTTCATCTTAACTGGTTTATATATGTTTATATGATTAATCATCCATCTTAACTGGTTAACAACAAACAATGGGATAAATATGATAAATGTCATCTTAACTGGTGCAGGATTTCGCACTCATCCAACGGGATCTTAACCAACTTCCAAAGTCGTTGGATTGGCGCCATGGCAACTCCGAGCCTTGTCCCGAGTTGCACACTGCCATCGGCATCTTTCTGGGAGTTACAGATACATCCATAGATAGTCTTTAGCAATAGTACATCTGTAGTATACATCTATACCATCTATAGAAAATTAATGATACTTACCTGGTTGGTGGTTGACCCACCCCTCTGAAAAATCATGGACTTCGTCAGTTGGGATGATGACATTCCCAACTGAATGGAAAGTCATAATCCATTCATGTTCCAAACCACCAACCAGATGATAGTATAATTTGATAGTATCTGGATCATATTGTCATAATATGATAGTATGATAATATGATCCCATATTTTTCCATCTTTTCATCTTCCATCCTTAGCCTCGCCGTCCCAGATCGCTCACGTCCCAGCCACGAAAGTAGTCCGAGAAGAGCGTCAGCAGCATCCGGTGGGCCATCAACCGTCGGCCTTCCACCAGGAAGGAGACGTCGGAGAACTGCTCGTTGTTCAAATACCTTGGGCCAGGGCCAGGGCGTGAAATCCGATGGTTTTAAGATACGTTGAAAACCATGTTGAACACACGTGACATTTAGGGACGCGCTTAAATCATGGGATATGCAACCATCATCAAGCAGCCATCCCTCCTTCGAGCAAAAAAGAAACTAGGTCCTAGGTAAGTAGATATTCAATGATATTCACTGGCTATGTGGTTGAGAAACTATTAGTAGCCCCTTGATTCCCCATTTTAGAATATATGGATATAATGGATAGATAGCCATAGCTACTTAGCTCCTTCACCTTCCCAAATACAATCGAGCCCAAAATAGCTGGACTTAATCGGGACGATAATGATCAAGCAATTTTAGGTGTTGAAACCTCTAGGACGAAGCCGGAGGGGCCATTGGGGATTAAGGTAGCAAACATGGCTAACCTTCATGGATGTGCCGTGGGTTTCGTCAGTGATTTTTTCACCCTAGATCTTTGGGGTCAACCTCCCATTTACGTGGATTATTCATGGTTATTCATGGTACAATGGTTACTACCCTCTGGTAAACGAACATAGCTGTTGAAAATCATCACGTTTAGTGGATAAATCAACTATAAATGGACCATTTTCAATAGCAAACTGTTAGTCATTACCAGAGGGTAACTAATGGCATGAAATGGGTGACCTGAGCTGATCAACCGGTTACCAGATTTCAACTGGTTTTACATCCAAGATGCTCACTCATCACTCGCCGAACGGAGTCCTTACAGCGAGATGCGCGAGGCGGAGTTAGGCATCAAAATTGGCGCAGCATGCTGCACAATTTGTTGCTCATCTTGAAAAGTGTTGAAACGCTTAAACATCGATGGGAGTCACTAACTTTGAGCCATAGCCATACTTTGGTCAAAGCGACCATGTTGGTAAGTGAGCACCGTAAAGGACACCTTCTTGTGGGTTTGCTGTATCGAGATGATTCAAATATATGCATCCTTGAGATTAGCTAAATGTTGATCATAACTTGACAAGATCCCATGAAACATCCCATTTAGAAAAAATAAATAGGACACGATAGAAACGGTGCTAACTCGCAGTACTATTCAACCCCCAAACCCTGGTTGATAAGTTGAGACTAATTACACTCAAAAAGAATGAATAATGACTGGTTGGTGGTTGACCTACCCCTCTGATTGTTGGGATGATTCTTCCCAATATATGGAAAAATAAAATTCATGTTCCAAACCACCAACCAGATAAAAATGTGGAGTGGTGCAGCTCCACAAGCTTTCCCTTCCTCACCAACCCGTTGGCCATGCGTCGGCACAAACAGGAGCCGCTGCGACATCGATCACAGGCGGCGCATCGGTGTCCAAAATGTACCACTTGCCCTTCCTGGGAGCGAGGCGAAGGGCACTAACCAGGACAGATGGATGCCACTTATTGGGAATATATATATAGATAGATATAATTATATATAATATAGCATGTCCAGCAGATTTTGTTGTATCTTGCAGTTCTTGTTTTAATGGAAACCGGCAACTCCCGCGTAAACTAACACCATCCCCGAAGATTCCAGTGGGTGCCAAGTGTCCAGCCTTTCCAACATTTCAAACTATTTCAAAAGTCTCAGTGTCAATGTCTCAGACCCAAATAGCCCTCAGAAAATGTCTCAACTTCAAAACCTCCATGAAAAATCCCCCCAAAAAATCCCACGGAAATCCCATAGAAATCCGAATTTTTTTCCCTCTTCGCCAAGTTTCCCATAGTACTGGGTGCCACATGCTCCTCCACTGATGAACAAGCGCCGATCCACGACCACCGCCACGTGCCCAGCACGTCGTGCCGGGCCTCGACAGGCGTCCGTGCCCTGCTCGTCACTGGCGACGCAGAGGAACCACGACTGCTCCTTGGGATCCTCAGTGGGCGAGATTCCTTGGAGGATTTCAAGTTGAAGAGGATAAACATCACCAAGAAAACTCATGATTTAGTATGATAAAAAAGTATGATTTAGAGGGATTGAAGCAAGAAACAATGTGATGTAGTGGAATTTCAATGGATTAGCCTCTGGCTATTTGTTACAGTTTGCAAACTGGAAAATGACCCATGAAAATAGGTTAATGATGACTTACCTCTTAAAATTGTGATTTTCCATAGCAACGCTTCTGATGAATAGAGGGTCTACTGGTTTGTTGAGAACAGGATTCCCCCCCTTTCATGGATTGTGATAAACCTCAATATATTGAATATATACCCATAGGATCCATGGTGCTGGTATATATGCTAACATTGGGGGTATATTGATGGGATCCATGTTACCATATATAGCAGCACCATGGATCCTATAGGATATTCTATAATTCCATATAGTTCCCTTTAATCATCAACCAACAGCGGTTCTTTCTTCACTGCTCACTTGAAATTTTCTGAGAGAATAGCATATAACGGAGATAGAACCATTATCATGAAAAATTGGCTAGGATAGAATGGAAGGTCAATATATATATATATATATGTATGTATATATATGTATATATATATATATAGAGAGAGAGAGACAGGATAATGTCAGAGAGAGAGAGAGGATAATGTGTATATATATATATATATAGTCACCCTGAAGTATACTAAATATGGAATTTTGACAAAAATTGTGAAATGGGAAGGTTTTGAAACATGCATGTTCTTTTGTACTTCAGGATGACTAAACATATAATTAGATATATAATTATATATATTATATATATAATATTATATAGATAATTATATATACATATATATATATACAGTATATATATATACTATTTATATGTGTTATATGGTGTGGATTGAACCTGTGGTGCCATTTTCAATTTGGATGGACACGCACAAATCAAGAAGTGTTCACATGTCTCAGGGGTTTTACATGCTTCAGTCGTCTCACTGGCATGACCCCTGCACAAGCGATGACGCGCTACCTTTTGGATGGCTCAAGAAAGAGGCAGCCGCTGCTGCTTCGGGTTTTTTCCCCCGTTTGGGGATCGCAGGTTATGAGCCCAAGTGCTACGGCGCTTGGGTGAACTCCGCGTTGTGCGCGGCCATGGACCGTCGAAGGCGGCAGCTGCGCGAGACGGCTGACGAGCGCTTGGACCGCTTGATCGCCATGGAGCGGAACTCGAGGATCAGCTCCCCGGTGCCTGAGGTCAGAAGACTGATGGTGGAGGAGGGAAGAGCTGCAGCTTCAAGCCCGGGACCCCGACGTGATGGTCGAGGAGAAGGTGAAGCTGCTGGGTCCACGGGTTTGCTGCCAGTGGGATCAGGGACCCCTGTGCCGGATGGCCTGTTGGCTCCACTGTTTCAGGACCTTGGACAGGAGGAAGCCCCACGAGTTTTCCACAGGAGGTTGGACGAAGATGATGAGATTCGTCCGGCCGAGGTGGCAGAGTTTTCTAGTGCCGCTGGAGCTGGTCAACTATCAGCTCAGGATCAACGAGATGCTGGCCAAGGACGAGGTTCGGGATACTGTGATAGCATGACCTTGTCCGAGGCAGCAGATGGCCGGTTTGGCCATGATCGTGACAGTGCTGGAGCTCTGATGGTTCAGCCTGGTGTCAATGCCTTCTGGAGCAGTGAAGTCAGAAGGGCAGCAGCACTTGAGGGAGTGCCGGATGTTGCAAGGCCTCAGGCATTGCCGCCGCTTGCTGGCCCGCCGGTGTCTTACGGCCCTGTGCAGGCCCATGGTGAAGGTTGTGGAGGTTCGGGACATCTTCATCCTGGTGGCATGGCTGGTAGCATTGGCCCTGAGCAGGCCTCGCGCTGGGCATCTGGTGGCATTGGCCCTGAGCAGGCCTCTTTGCACTGTGCGGCTAACGGCATAGGTCTTGAGCAGGCCTCTTCGCGCGGCATGGTAGCTGGTGCTGGCCCTGTGCAGGCCTCTTCAAGCTGGGTTGCAACTGGTGGCATTGGCCCTGGGCAGGCCCTTGGTGCAGAAGGACGACAAGCAGGCCCTGTGCAGGCCAATGGAGCGCTACTTGATGGTGGTCCTGGATCTCTTCAAGCTGGTCTGAGTGGAGCTCTGTCGCAACCGTCGCCGGAGAAGTCGGTGGAAGCACTTCGGCTGAGGATTGTGAAGGCAGCAGAGGAAAGCTTCATCAGAGAGGCGAAGAAGTTGAAGGGCGAGGAGCCGGAGGGTGAGGTGCGCTCTTACCACACAGCTTCGAGTGGGCCTGGAGCGAATGGAAGGATGGTTCCACCAATGCCTTCTTTGCAGGGAGCTCCTACGTCATCTTTGGTTGCAGTGCAGCCTGGGGTGCAACCTATGTCTGCGCATCATGGACTTCATCAAGGAGGTCAGACCGCTGGACTTGGAGGTGGCATGATGTGGAGCCAACCAGTTTCTCCAATGGTGACTCACTCTCCTGGAACGCAGAGTGTCCTGGGTTTCAATGGTGGATGTGGGATGAATCCTGGACATCATCAAGGTGGTGCAGTCTATGGTGGACCGGCAGTGACTTCTCAGAGTCCTGATGTGGGCTTACATGGTGGTGGTCAACTTCCAGGTGGATTGGGAATGTCGGCCAATGCAGGACACCTTGGAGGTGGACTGTTGGTGGGGGTGCAGGTGGAACTACGTCGCTGGTGAGACCTCCAGGCTTGGGTGGACCAGATCTACAACAAGGTGTGGCACAGCCGATGGAACCTTTGAGAGGTTCCGAGCTTCCTCTACTACCTCAACCTGGGACGGAGCAGTCAGCTCTGCAGTTTGGTGATTGGATCACAGTGGTCACTCCGATGATTGGGGACGTGGCTGGATCTGCTCGTGGTTGGTGGGGTGACATCTTGCAAGATGCCTCAAGTTTGTATGACCGGTGGCTCACTTCGACGCCCTTGGAGAGGATCAGACTTCGTCCAACAGAAGTTCAACGATCCGAGGCCCATCTACGCTTGGAGCAGAGGGTGGTGCCTATGCTGCTGAAGTGCGTCCCGGAGTCCATCAAACAGGACCTGATTGCCAGCAGGACTATGACGGTCACTGGCATTATGTACAGGTTGTGGACGGTCTTTCAACCTGGTGGCAGCTCAGAGCGGGTGAGCATTCTCAAACAGCTCACGGAGCCGAAGGTGGCCAGCAGCGCACCGGATTTGCTTGGGGGACTTCGGCGATGGAGGCGTCTCATGAGCCGATCCATGGAGCTGAACCTGGCCCTTCCAGATCCGATCATTCTTGGAGGAGTTCTTCATCGCTTTGCAGATGCTCTTGGGAAGCTGGGTGGAACGCAGCTGGCGTACCGGGTGGCCTCGGTGAGGCAGGAGCTGGGGGTTGACATCAGGCCCTTGGCACTATCCATTGAGCAGTATGCGGAGTACCTCCAGTCTGAGGCCGAGGAGCTGAGCTTGGGAATCGGCCTGAGAGCCACTACTGCTGGAGCTGCTGCCCCAACCTCGCTGAAAGCCATGGTGGGTTTGGACGCTTCAACTTCGACTACGAGTGCATCAGCTCTGAATCCATCGAAGGCACCATGTAAGTTTTGGAAGACTGTGGATGGATGCAGACGCGGGTCGCAGTGCACTTTTCTTCATGAGACCACGGAGATGAAGGGACGGTGTTTTAATTGTGGGAGCTCTTCACATCTTCGGAAGGATTGCACAGCGAAGACCTCATCTACTTCAACTCCTACATCCACCCCGGCTGGTGGCCCTGCAGGGGATAGCTCACAGCCCAAGAAGGTTTCCAAGGTGAAGGCGACCCCGAAGTCAGCCGCCAAGGACCAAGTGGTGGATGCACAGAAGAGTCCTGGGAAAACCCCCAATGGGAGTGAGGTCAAGCCCAAGGATGTGGTCAGCACGACTCTTGGGGGTACTTCGGATGGAACCCAAGGTGGTGATTCAACTGCCACTGAACCAATGGGTGAGCCTTTGACAGAAGCAGCAGCTGAGCTGATGAGGGAAGCCACAAGCTTGCTGAAGTCAATCCGGTCCTTGAAGGCCGTGCGGATGAAGTCCGTGGGAGAAGGGATCTATGGAGGACCTGGAGAATATGCACTCCTTGATGGTGGAGCCACGCATGGACTTCGACAGGCCAGACCTGAAGAGGAACCTGACCTGATCGCCACCAAGGTGGAGTTGGCCTGTGGATCTACGACCCTCTTCAAGCACCCCAAGCATCAGACTTTGCTGAGCCGGAGCCCTGTTGAGCCGATCATTCCATTGGCCTGGTTGGTGGCAGCTGACTACAAGATCACATGGAAGAGAGACAGCATCGTGATCCACCACCCTACTAAAGGGCCTTTGCAGTGCAGCTTGAGGGGAGGATGCCCGGTGATGTCAAGGGCGGAAGGCCTGTCCCTGTTGGGTGACTTGGAGAAGATGCAGCAGGTAGATGTGGACTTGAAGGAGGACGAGTTGAAGTGGTGGGCTGATCACTTCCCACAGGTCCCGCACTCCATCTGGAGGTTCATGAAGGGGCAGGGTGAAAGCTGGCGTGACCACTCTTCTAGCCTTCCCTGGAATCGCCATCGAAGAAGGAGACTGTGGAAGTCGAAGGGCATCCTTTTGCACCTCTTTTCAGGGAAGAACCACAAACAGTGGGATGAGCTGGAACAAGCTGGCTACACGATCCTCACGGTGGACACTTTGCATGGGATTGACCTACATGATGCAGCTACGTGGGCGTTCATTTGGGAGCTTGCATGTGCTGGAAAGGTGGTTGGCATTTTGGGTGGACCACCATGCCGGACGACGTCACGGCTGCGGCAACGGCAGCCTGGACCACCTCCTCTCCGAGGACGAGACGGCCTTCGCTTCCATCTTGAAGGGTTGTCCACATGGGACCTGCATCGGGTCAACTCCGACACAGCGCTCCTCTTCAAGCAGCTGGGCCTGTTCTTGAAGGCGGAGGAGCGACGCATGCAGGTGCCGGAGCTTCATTGTCTTCCTACGGCATTTGCACTGGAGTCTCCTGAAGACCCAATGGAATACCTTGGACCTGAGGTTGCAGCCAACTTC